CTGGGTGTGAGCATGAGTGTGTCTGGATGTGAGTGTGAGCGTGTGTGGTGTGTGAACATGTGGGTGTGAGCATGTGTCTGGGTGTGAGTGTGAGCATGTGGGTGTGAATGTGTCTGGATGTGAGTGTGAGCATGTTTCTGGTGTGTGTGTGAGCATGTGGGTGTGAGCATGTGTCTGGGTGTGAGTGTGAGCGTGGGTCTGGGTGTGAGTATGAGTATGTCCGGTGTGTGAACATGTGAGTGTGAGCATGTGGGTGTGAGCATGTGTCTGGGTGTGAGTGTGAGCGTGCAAGTGTGAGCGTGTGTCTGGGTGAGTCCCTCTGCACTCTTGCTATGACACAACAACACAAGCACACGCGCCGTCAGACCGGGTGTTGGGTCACCAGCAAACTGGCCCCTGCTGGCTGGGTGGCTCCTTCCCTCAGCACATGGGCACCTCCCAGTGAGGGGATGGCTGGTGAAGAAGAAGCGCAGCCGTGGCCGACCTTCCTGCAGGTTTGTACGTGGACAGCCAACTCCTGATCATCCGCTCTGTTTGTGCACAAGGGGAGGGCGATGCTGACTGCCCACCTGGACCCCATGTCATGGGAGGTGAGGCTGAGGCTTTGGGGTAAGTTGAATGAACTCACGGCTTCCTCGTTTTGAAGTTTCCCCTGGGCCCTGCAGTCGCCGCCCACTCCTGGATTTGTTCCCGGTGCTGACTGGTCCTCCTGTCCAGGCACCCTGTCCCGCACTGAGCCCTCTCTGTCCTCTGTCCTCTGTCTGGTGCTTGGTCCTGGCCCCTTTGCTCTCTGCACACCCTATGTTTTGGTAATGCCACTATGTCCTAGTCTTTAAACACCATCTGCACTCTGATGATTTCCAAATTTATCCATCCAGCCAAACTCCAGATGCACCTGCAACTGCCTCTGCGAGAGCTCCACAGCCAAGAGCACTGTGTACAGCTGCCCAGGCAGCACACTGCACAACTCCGAGGGGGTCATTCACGTGCACAGTAAAGCACAGTAACCAGCTTAGGCTAAGTAACCAACTTAGGCTAAGCTGCTGCTATTTGATTTAGAAAACCTGGAACAAATGACCAAGTTATCAGCTAAGCATCTCCTCAGCTTTCTGAGCATTTAACATTTTCCAAACATTTGGATACGGAGGTGCGTGAGGTGGTTCTGAGGTTAAACCATGGTTTCCTCGTTATTGGGATGTATTACTGGGTCATTTCACTTTTAAATGATACCACATTGCTAACTACATAGAAAACTAATTTCAAGTCCTATGAGTAAGGATTCAGATACACTTCTAAATAGATTTTTTTAAAAAGGAAGTAAAGGATGTAAGGTAGATTTGGCTGTAATTTCAGATTAGATGACTTTGAGTGTTGCAGACTCACGTCAGATCGTTCTTATTGTAGAAACCCGTGCAGATGGGAGATGTGGAATCAGAAAGACACGGGATCTAACCCTGTTAGCTTCTAAAATTCTTGGTCCCCTCACAGCATGCTCCTCTCAGGGTTTGGAGACAACACCTATGAAGGGTCGTTGGCCTCGTGTGTAAACAGCACAGTTTTATGCCTCCCTTCCTCCTCCCTGTGGAAGCAGATTGGGCTCACTCACTTACTTATTTCTGAGACATTTGTGGAATGGCTGTGCGTGCCAGGCCCAGGCAGACATGCCCAGTGAAGAACGCAGTGCTCATCCCCTCTGCATCCCACTCTGCTCCGTGAGTCACGAGGAGAGCGAGTCGGATGTGCAGACGAGGTCAGTTCCGTAAAAACCTGTGGAAGCCTTGGGAGAAGAGCAGGAAATGAGGTCCAGCCTGGGAAGGTGGGGTGTGTCCTGAGGGTGATGGACGGGAGGCTGAAGGTAGCTTGGAGATGGAGAGGACCAGCACCCCAACTGGCCGGATGCCCGCAGCCCGGGCAGGGGTTCATTGCAGGAAGGACACTTGTCTGGTAGGAGAAGATGAAGTCCTGGGCAGAGGGGAGGGTGGGCTTGGGATGGAGGGCTGCAGGTGGCAGGGAGCCAGGCTCCCTCCAAGTGCTGGGACGTCACAGGAGGGTGGGGTTGGTGCCCTAGACCAGGTAGGACAGGCGGGAGCAGGAGGTGTCTGGGACCAGGTGACTTTGGGGGGGTCTTGGGGTGTGATGACTAGTGTCTGGGGTATGACACTGGGTGCCAGGCCCTTCGCGTGTTCTGTGTCCCTCGACCCCCCGGCAGAGCCGTGGGGAGGGATCTGTTACTCCAGTTCATGGACACAGAGGAGCTCGTGGGTGCAGTGGACCAAAATAGGGCTTGAACCCAGATACTTCTGTTGTGTTCTTAGCTATCCTAAACTGTAGGGGGCAGCTGGAAATACACCAAAGAGTCGGCTGCGTTTCTGATTTGGGGAGTCAGTCCAGATCTGGTGGTGATAGGGATGTGTGTTTGACTGAAGTGTTCATCGTATGCAACCGATCACTTGTTAGATGAGAATCCGAACGTATTGCAACAGGCACAGAATATGTGCCTTCGATGTGTCGATGGATGTTTGGGGTATTTATTTTTTGCTATTGCTTTTAATAACTCATGCTTTTGTCTTCCTTTACTACCAGTATGTGTCTGCTGGGTGATGGGCATATCATTACATATTTTCCCTAGGTTGGAAGTATTTTATAGGTTAAAAATAACATGTATTAAAAATGTTTTTTTGGGGGGCACCTGGGTGGTTCAGATGGTTAAGCGTCTGCCTTCGGCTCAGGTCATGATCCCAGGGTCCCGGGATCGAGTCCCGCATCGGGCTCCCTGCTCCTTGGGAGCCTGCTTCTCCCTCTGCCTCTCTCTCTCTTTCTCTGTCTCTCATGAAAAAATAAATAAAATCTTAAAAAAAATGTTTTTTTAAAAAAGAACAGTCGCCGAGATCCACTGTGGGAATTTGGAAACAGAAGAGTGTGTCCATCTCCCGTTTTATCACTCCCCAGAGACTACACATGATAAAACTTTGCGGGACTGGTAGTTTGTGGTCTTCTGTGTAGTGGATGTGTGTGTCTGTGTGTTGGGTGTGTGTGTGTGTGTGTTTATGTGTAGTGTATGTAGCCTTGGGATCTGTTCCACACCTCTTAAAATTTGTATTTTAAAATTTTAAATATTTTTTGTTTGGAAATAGTTTCTATACCTTTTACATGATTTTTGATGGATTATTATATTACATTTCTGATGCATGGGTTTATAGTAATTTATTTATCTAAGCCTCTGTGGTTGGATATTTAGTTCTTTCAGATTTACTTTGCTATTAGAAATAAGATTGCAATGAGCAATACTGTGCATAATGCGTGCTTTTCTGATTTTTTTCTTCACATATATTTGGGGTATGGACTTGTGCATCAACATTTTAAAGGCTTCTAATACACGCTTAGAATTAGTCAGGGTGTCTGAGTCTGTGAAACTCTTGAAGCTTTTGGAACTACTTGGAACAAGTCACCGCTTACAGCTCAGAATCAGCAAATCTGCTTTCCTTGGTTTTTGATCTAAGAATCTGGACTCCAGATCACTGTTATTCAGCTGTTCAGTCGCAGAGTGTGAAAATGTATACTTTGGACTCATTGTGTGGTACTTAGTCATGCAATGTGCATTTAGATGGACTTCCAATCATTGATTTCTCTTTTATGAGTATTTTTGTAACCTCTTTTCTCTACCGAGTGAGTCGAAGAGGACAGTTGGAAGTGACGGACCTGTAACTGAGCCCTTTCTCTTTGTTCTGTGTCCGTCTCTGGGCCCAGCAGGAAGAGGAAATGAAGGAACAAGATGCGCGTGTGCTGAAGATGTTATAGCTCACCACAGTCCGCCTGGCCGTCTGTGGCGGGTTCGGCAGCTCGCTGGGAGAGCGTGTGTGCGTGCGTGCATGTGCATGCAACATGCACATGTGTGCGTGTGGGCACGTGTGTGCACATGCACACGCACATGTGTGCACGAGCGTGCATGTGTGTGCGTGCGAGCCTGTGCACATGCGAGTGTGTGTGCATGTGCACGAGGGAGGGTGGGATGTTCTCAAGAGCTCTCCCCGAATGTTTGCTGTTTTGGGATGAGACGAAAACTGAAACACGGAACACAACTGTGTCACACTTCTCCAGCATTGTGTACTCTACAAAGAGTTGTCGTGCTTCACAGACTGCTTGGGGTCTCCTGGGCCTGGCTTCTCCGTGAGGAAGTGGCTCCTAGACACTCCCCCTGGGCCCACCCCAGAGGAACAGCACAGCACAGAGGACATTCACTATTCTTCGTTATAAGGATTCCTGGCCAGTAGCATCTGTGAAGCAAAGTGGGTCCACGTCATCGGTGTGCCTTACACCTGCTGTGCGCCCACCGCGGGGTGTCAGGAGCGATGCACGGGGCGCGCTCACCGCCGGACGTTAGGAAAGGTGCACGGAGTCATAAACCACAGCTCCTGGCCTTGGAGACCTTCCGTCTTACAGGGAACAAAGGCATAAAGACCTGGAATAAAAAGAGAACAGTCTGGACTTCCTCTGTCTTGAGGCAGTTAGGACGTCAATGGTTGAAGGCATTTGGATAAAGGAAGGGTGACTGTGGTTGGGTTGGTGAGCCATGGCATAGGGGACCCAGAGAGTTAGCTGAGTCCTCAGAGATGGGACTCCTCCCCGTAGCGGAGGTCGGCGTGGGTAGGCCAGCAGCAGGGGGTGGGTAGGAGAGTGTTTCTAGAGAACCAGATGGAGGTGACCCGCTGGAACGGAGTGTCCGTATGCCTGGTGTGGCAACAGGTTGACAGGAATGGGGTTCATCTGAGGCAGACAGCTTTCGGCTCAGCCCTCCAGCTGTCTTCGAGTTTCAAGTGCTGTCTGCGGGACAGAGGGTGGTCGTGCAGGGTGTCTGAGCTCTGAGAGAGAGCGGGCACGTCTATGCTGGGGACCTCTGGTTTTGAACCACTCAGGTTTACAGAGAAGGATTCTGCCATTGATTAGCGACTAAAGACACAGTCCTTGATTTATATTTGTGAGTCCTGGCAAGATCGTCATGTGTGGTCGGTCATTGATAAATATGTTACAAAGTGTTTATAAACTACATTGAGGAGGCAGCTCTGCTCCCCAGACTAAAGGGAATCAGGAAACGGAAAATGCTAGTAGGTTCTGTGTATTAATAATAAAATTCAGGAGTTTCCCTCTAGGTTCCTGTGGCTCTTCATCAAATTTGAAAGTACTTCACATAATAGGTTAATTTTGTAATATTCTGAGTAATTCTTAGCGCCTATGAACTGAGCCACAGAACGTCTGGGAACCAAGACAAGACTTAGGAGGGTGCTCCCCATTCCTCCTCAAGGGGCTTGCGCTGTGCCGTTAAGCTCCTGTCTTCTCCCCATCTCGCTGTGGGCTCCCCGGTCCAGCCTGGGTCCAGCCCAAGAGACCGCTCAGTGTTCACCGGAGGGATACGGCCACGGGAATGGGTTCTGTTTCCAGAGCCGCTGAAGAAGTCTGAGGGCAGAACAGGGAGATCAGGTCCCAGCCGTGGACTCTGAAAGTGGCATTTCATCTTCACCCGCGGATAGCTCCGAACTGTGACCCACGCATGCGCCCCTCAGTTCATGCACTTCCGTGTCACTTGAGGGGAGCCCGGCCACTGCGTCGGGGGGGACACACGGCCGGGGAGAGGAGCTGCATCATGCTGTCTCCTGCTGCCGCGGCACGAAGACCGCGGGGAACAGTGCCGCAAGGTTGGGGTCTGCGCGGGCTTTTGTCTGCACTAGCTGCTCCGAGGGCTTCGTTGCCCAGAGCCGCAAGGACATCCAAACCCATCGTGAGTCACCGATGAATCAGGGACAGAGCGCTCGGAGGCCCGGCTGCGAAAACCTGACTCCCTGCTTAGTTTGCTCCGATTCTGTTGCGGTCTGCAGAGTCTTACCAAACCAGTGCTCCTGGCTCCGACTCTGCCCTCCAAGTCCACATCTGGTAACTTTTCATTACAGAGCAGGGGTCCTGGGCGAGCCCGCAGCCTTCACAGTGGCCTTTCGTGCAAGAGTCACAAACGCCAGCCTCACGGTATCAGCCTGTGGGTGCAGCGCACATGGGGCGCGTTCTGGCGTGTTCGGGGCCTCCGTAAACGTCTGCGGTCGCCATATCCAGGCCAGGCCAGAGTGGGCTTGTGGTTTTGTTGTGTTTCAGTGAACGAATTCGTTCATTTCTGGGCCGCATGTGAGCGGACAGAAGGCAGCCGCTGGGCGCGGGGGCAGGGAGCATGTGCGCATTCTGACGAGGAGGCCCCGGCAGGTCCGCGGACCCGCACGACCACCGCCTGCAGAGACCCGGTTTGTGCACCTGCTGGCCAGGGCAGAGTGCTCCCGAAGAAACAGCAAGCGCCCGCCGCGGCATTCACTGCCCCTGTCCACGGTGACCGTGGTCCACGGCGCCCCAGCCCCCTTCTTCCTCCACATCACTGCTCACCTCCTTCAGCCATACAGAGCGGACCTTTTGCCCTTCGTCTCACTATTTTCTCCTCTTCTCCCTGATGAGCCATCGGAGGTGCCTGTCCTCGGAGTCACACTCTCCCTGGTAACAGGCGAGGCTGGTCCTCTGGCCACCCTCCTCTCGGTGTGCAGCTCCGGAGTTTGTGGCTGCTCTGCCCCCTCGGGCACCGGTGGGGGCCGCCCGGCTCCCGGCGCCTGTCACCCTCCAGGACCCCCTCTCCTCAGCAGTCTGTTCCCGCTAGGCATTGGGCACAGGTGCCGTTTAGAATTGCTGTTGGCAAACACGTGTGGCCCATCTCTGGCTTCTTTTTTTTTTTTTAAAGATTTTATTTATTTATTTGAGAGAAAGAGAGAGAGACAGAGAAATAGCATGAGAGGGGAGAGGGTCAGAGGGAGAAGCAGGCTCCCCGCTCAGCGGCGAGCCCGATGTGGGACTCGATCCCAGGACCCCAGGATCATGACCTGAGCCGAAGGCAGTTGCTTAACCAACTGAACCACCCAGGTGCCCTCATCTCTGGCTTCTAAACCATTCAGCCCACTACCTCTCCTTGGGTCTGCAAACATCTGTACTTTAGAAAGTACAATACGCAGAAAAGATCTGGGAAGCTTGGTTCTGCACAGGGAGGCATTTTAGCGTTTATTGGGCTACCCAGGCACCTGGCAGTATAATACCTACAAAGGAGGCAAACACAGCCTGAATTTAAGAACAACCATTGATCAAAGAAGATTCATATACATGGCACTAAATCTACATGTAGATGCAGCTCTCTTTCCTCTTTTGAGTGTTTTTTAAAGGATTTTATTCATTTATTTGACAGAGAGAGACAGCGAGAGAGGGAACACAAGCAGGGGGAGCGGGAGAGGGAGAAGCAGGCTTCCCACTGAGCGATGCGAAGCTCTATCTCAGGACTCCGGGACCGTGACCTGAGCCGAAGGCAGACGCCTAACGACTGAGCCACCCAGGTGCCTCGCCCTTTTGAGCATTTTTGGGGTAATCTGTGCATCTCTTATATGTAAAGCAGTACATTTTCCCAATCATTTTGACTGGGGCATTTTTCATTGCAGTGACAACACAGTTCTGTTACTTCACTCCTTTGTTGTTACCAGGTTGCCTGTCTGTTAGCGTCCCCAGGTTGCTGTGACACACGACCGTGGACTACAGACGTCTGTTCTCTCCCCGTTCTGAGGCTGAAGTCAGAGAGCGACGTGTCTGCAGGGGGTCCTTCTGGGCTGGGAGGGAGAATCTGCCCCAGGCCCCTGCCCGGCCTCTCGTGTCTGTGCGCAGTCGTTCATCTTCCCACGGCATTCTCTCCGTGTGCGTGTGTCCAGATTTCTCTGTTTTACAGGACGACAGTCCTATCAGAGTAAAGGCTTATCTTGCTTTAACATGATTCAATTTAACTTAACTGCTTACATCTGTAACAGCTATTTCCAAGCAAGGCCACATTCTGGGGTGGTGGGAGTTAGGACTTCACATATGGATTTTGAGGGACAGAATTCAACCCCTAACACCAGCGATTGGATGCAGGGGCCACCCTAGTTGAGTGTAACCTCATCATCAATTGATCATGTCAGCAAACACTCTATTTCCAGATATGGTCACATTCACGGGTACCGGGGCTAAGATGGAATGTTTCTGGAGGGGGACACCGCTCAGCCCACAACAGTGTCTACAAACCCGATTCCGTCTGTTGCCTTCTGACCTGCAGCCTTGCTTTTACGGGTCTGGGGCGAGTCCATGTGCGTAAGGCAGTGAGGGGACAGCCTGATTTCTGAGTGCTCTGGTAGGGGGAGGCGAAGGGGACCCAGCCCCTCAGTCAGCGGCTCCAGGCGCTCCAGCACACAGCTCCATCTCCAGGAGGGAAGAGGGACGCGTCCTCGGAAGGGGCCAGTACCCTGCACAGTGTACAAAATGTTGTGTGCCAGGGGGAGGTGGCTGCAGAGGGGGTGAGAGTCCCTGAGCGGGGCTGACGACACCTAACAAGTGTAGAGCGCATGGCTCCCACCCAAGGGGCGCCTGCCCACCTCCCTCTGAAGCACACCGCGGGACTCTGAGACAAGTGGTGGGTGGAAAGAGGTTCCCGATTTTAAAACTTTGTGGGACCTGAGAAATCCTGTCATGCCCCCCATTTATTTTTATTTAGTTTTGAGAGAGAGCACGCACACAGTGGGGAGGGGCAGAGGGAGAAGGAGAGCAGATCCCCAAGCAGGCTCTGCGCCCAGCACGAAGCCGGACGTGGGGCTTGATCCCGGGACCCTGAGATCATGATCTGAGCTGAGATCAAGAATCGGGAGCTTAACCGACTGAGCCACCCAGGCGCCCTCATGCTCCGGTTTTATAAATGATGAAGTCTGCCTCAAATTGGGGTAGAGCCGTCCCAGGGGCAGCTCAGGCACTGGCCCGGGAGGCTTTGGGATGGCAGGTGGCAAACTCAGATCCTGTGCCATGGGTGTGTCGTGGCCCAGCTAGGGAGCCACAAGCTTCTCACGTGGCATGTGTCCCCTTCGGTGCCCTTGCCGTGGCCACACACCCATGGCAGCCAGGGCCGATGGGGTCTGGGGTTTGCACTCCCCACTCACACTGGGGTAGGACGTGGAGGGGAGCCTCCTGCATCTGCTGGGGTGCGCTCACATGTCACTTAAACAGGGCAGGGGACGTGTCTCCCTCATGAAGGGTGACCCTGCATAACTCCGGGTGGTCGCTCCTGACAACGGGAAGTATTTCTGTATCATCCGGTAGAATTCATGGTGGGTCAGCTCAGGTCATGGCAAATGGTTTCCCTATCTGTCTCTGAGCAGGGCCGCGCTCTTGGTCCGGGTCCAGCTAAGGCTGGAGGAGGAGGAGTGATGAAGCCAGAGACGCACAATGCTCAACACAAAACTGACTTTATTTTAACAAAGTCACAACGTAATTTGTCTATGTGAAATTATTGATGCTAAGATAGTTTCCCTAGCACGTGAGAACTGGCTTGGGAGTCCAGGGCAAGAAGGGTGTCTCTTTCAGAACCAGCATGTGGGGCCAGGGAGCCCAGAAATCCTCCTGAGTGATGCCCGATGGAGTCAGGCCGCGCGTGTGTGTCTGAAGATCTAAATTGTTATTCCTGCTAATAAAGTATTCATGAAATCTTGAACCAAAACACTGATTGGATAGTGGAGTTAAAATGTCTGCACATATGAGCCGTAGGGATGTTCTGATCTTACCAGACACGGATGCAGAAAAGCCGTTTGGGTTTACGTAATTTTACTTTGGTATTTTCAAAGAACAACTGCCCTGTTGGCTGTATTAGCGAGACTAAAACCAGGTGGTTTTACAAACCCGGGGAGAGTGAGCTGTGTTGTTCGGCGTCTTTGGTCTTTTCTGGAGCAAATCTTGATGCTGCTGAGTACAGAGCAATAACAGCGTGGCCGTCGGAGGACCAGGTGCCCATCCCGCATCCCCTCTCCTTCAGGGAACCACTATCCTCATGCCAGAAGCCAGTCTTCCAATTTATTAAATTCCTTCAATTAATTAATCTCTTTGTATTTTAGTTCATTCTAATATTGAATTTGCTTCTGGAATTGCCGATGAATTTATTCAAACAGAATAATGTCTCCTCATCTTTTACTTGTGCGTGAAAAATTGCAGGTTGTAGTTGAAGGGGAATTCCTTTTGGAGGCAAAAAAGGCCCTTTCTACCTCGAGTGGAAATGCCCACTGTGTTTCGAATGGCAGTTTTAGCTTGCCATTCAGGGAGTCCTCGTGGCCTGGACCCCATCCTCTTGGAGATGTGCCGCGCACACACTCAAGCGTGAAGTTGATTTGGCTCAAAGAAAGACTGTCATTTCTCCCTACATCTGCCCCCTCCTAGTCCCCTTAGGTTTTAGAGCCAGACTCTCCCCGAGGCTGGAAGGAAGAGCCGCCTGCGCCCACCTGCACCCACCCGTGCCCACATAGACACCTGGTTCTCACAGCTGCCGCTGCTCAGATCTGGTTCATGGGAAGCCGGCCGGTTCCCCCTTCAGGGACAGTCCAGGGCTGGAGGGGAGATGGTGAGGCTGGAGGGGCCGTGTGAGCGCCCGAGGCACCACAAGACGAAGGGAACATCATTACAAATCCCGTAAGGTCGGTTGAGCTGGACAGGCTTCTCTCCGGGCTCAGGGACGACAGCAGTTGCGGGTCAGCCACGCTTGGAGAGACCACACACAGACAGCGGTGAGAGTGCATGCGTGTGGCGGACTGGTCCCCCCCACGGAATAGCGCCTCCACCCCGAGCGTGGCCTGCGGCTCTCCACCAACACCATTGGCACACTGGGGGGCGTTTCTCCCATTCCCCATGCCATGCCCGGCTTGCTGGGTTAAACCAGATTCTATAGGAGGAAATTTGGTGTCACCCGGCACGTTTTCTTGAGTCTTTCATAAATTGTGGGAAGGTAGTTCCCAAGGAAGACCTTGAAAATTGAAATAAAGACGAAACTGATGGAATGTTTAGATGCTCAGAAGTGATCTCTGTGAAGGACACTGGCTGGAACATTGATCTTCACCAGCAGAGGTTTGTTAAAAACTCAATTCCCATCCCTTTGTGCAAGATACTGTGCAACTCCAACGGGCATGCCAGGCTTCCAGAACCAAAGGGAAACTTCAGGAAATGACATTCAAAGTATAAAGATATCTTCAGAATGGACACCACTGTGATAAGATTTGGCCCTACAATAGTATCATCACCTAAAATTGTATTAGTTTGATATATTAATATCAAAATTTTAGGTATATTACACCCTGGTTGATTAAAATTAATTATAGATGAGCAAGTTGATAATGCAGATATATTTCTTTTTTCAGAAAGGTGAATAAATCCTGGTTTTCTTTCCCCAGTTAAATGGCAGCTGAGAAAACCTATTCCATCGGCCACGCGTTCTAGTTTTTAAGCACCTTTGTTGTTGTTGGGGTCCTCCCTGGTTTTTGCCGTCCAGGATTATTTGACACGAGCTCCTAACGGAGGAGTCACCCTTCAGAAAACGTAACTGGTCTCCATGCAGCAGCCACTTCTGTGAGCTTTGCATGTCAGTAGCCGTGGGTTCCAAGTGTTATGAGTGTGGAACCATTCTGATGCTTTTGGAACAATCCTAAATTAAAGTGTGTCTCTGTTTCCATTATAAACCTCACTGTTTTCTTGGTTTGACGAGATTCCAAGCATATCGGCCCAAATCTTGGCGAGGCTGTTAAATAGTCATAGCAGATGCTGCTCAGAGTAGCTTCCCCTCTTAGGCGGTCCCAGTGGATTTACTCTTGGTGCGATGGCAGAGTGCGGCGTCTGGGGCCAGTAGGCTGGACCCTGGGGCAGGCACCATTGCAATCCCGTCTTTCATCCTGTTTAGGAGACTTGCAGGGATATAAGAGTCTTCTCTTCCTCCCTCTCCTGTTTTCCCGAATTTAACACCTAGCATTTTTCTGGACTTCCGCTGAAATGCTTTACTCCAGGGAAAGAACCCATCAAAATCTTCTTGGATAAATGAACCTTCACTAGAAATATTTCCTGGACACGTCGTCACTGCTAAGAAGATGGGAAAAACTTGATAAGGATGTTGGAACTTAGCAGTGCTCTGACTTGGGATGTGACTGATTCTCTGGGGCAGGAAGCCCCAGCCCTTGGAGCAGACATCATCTGAGGGTGTAGTTCTCCTAACATTGCTGTTCTGTGCTTCTTTCCCCCAAAGCCAGCCCAGCCCCTGCTGGAGCAGCCCAGTCCCTGAGCCACACCACCAAGGGCGCAGCTGCTGATTTGCCCTGACCCTGACCAGGGGTTTGGGGGTTCTGGGAATCGCAGGTGTCCATTGGCCCGGCTGGATCAGAGCACTGGTTCCTGACCCCCGAGTTACAAGGCTAATCAGCCAGGGTGTGTCTGAGGATGTGGAGAGCCCATGCGTGGATGTGGACTCCACTCTCTAAATGAGTCATGGAATTAGGGACTCTGCACATCCAGGAAACTCCCTCACTCCCAGCCCTCGGGACTTTGGGGTGCACTTCCCCCGACTGGAGGCTGTGGGCTCTGGGACACCCACGATGGCAAGTTCGATTCTTTCATGAGCTTGTCTGGTGCTGCCTGACGTTAACCCAGGGCCATCTGTGCGATTCCAGGCAACGCTGTGGGGCTTGCTTCCAGACTTCTGCCATTTTCCTCGGAAAAACCCAAAGTTTTCTCTGTGTCTCTTCAGGACATTTAATTGGTCTGTAAAGTGTGGGTGGCGTGTATGCGATGCTTCAGGTGCCTTGTGGACAGAGAAGATGCCTGGTTGGCAGCGACCCCAGGAGCGCGAGTGAAGCCGCGGTTTGGAGCAGCCCGTGGACTCTGGGCGTGTGTCTCCGTGCTCACTCAGACCACACAGGGCCCCCGCTGCCCGAGTCACAGTGTCCTCTCCCACTGCAGCCGCTCTGGGCTTGCTGTCCCCGCATGTCCCCGTGGCCCCCCAGGGAAGAGTTTCCTCCCCTTCCCACGGGCCCCCGGCTGCCCCTCGCTCTGCTCGCCACTCCTGCTCTTTCCCTGCAGCCTTGCAGTGGCCGGTGACGGCCTCAGAAACCTCTCTAGCCCCTCTGCAGGGATCGTCCACTTCCTCTTCCCTGTAAGGAAGGCATTTCTGTTTCCTCTGTACTTAAAGTTGTGGAATTTCAACATAACTTTTTCAAAAGAAGATTCTTTTCTCAGCATTTTGGATTTGTTTCATTATTAATATAGCCACGGAATTGATTTTTATTTGTCCTTTTGCAACTGTTCTAAAAACTTGAGCTTTAGGGAGCTAGATGAGGGATTGACACCCTTTTACTCCCTGCTTGCCGACGGCAGTGTCGAAAAGAGCCGTCCTCAGGGAGGCAAACAGCATCATCTGCTGTCGGCCCCACACATAGGTGGCTCTGGGAACTCAGAGCAGCTGTGCGAAGGAAAACTGGAATTTTTTTTTTAATTTATTTAAATCCAATTAATTAACACATAGTGTATTCTTAGTTTCAGAGGTAGAGTTTAGTGATTCATCAGTTGCATAGAATACCCAGTGCTCTTTCCATCATGTGCCCTCCTTCATGCCCATCACCCAGTTACCCCATCCCCCTACCCGAGTCTCCTACGGCTTAAGAATCTCTTATGGTTTTCTCCCTCTCTGATTTTGTCTTGTTTTCTTTTTCCCTCCCTTCCCCTATGAGGAGCACCTGAATTTTAAG